AGCAAAAGAAAAAACCAACTTAAAAAAACCAAAAAAAAAAAAGAAGGAAAATCCCCAAAAAAAACCCCCCCCAAAAAAAAAACAAAAAAAAAAAAAAAAAAAAAAAAAAGATAACTCATAACCAATAGTGACTTAAATGTATACTATACATATATGATAAAAACAAAGACCACTCAACTAATGTGGGTTCTCAGAAGAAAAATGTGTATGTGTGTGTGTGTGTGTGTGTGTGTGTATTTAGACATATATTTTTTCTTTTTTTCTTTTTTTTTTTTTTTTGAGACAGGGTTTCTTGCTCTCCTGGAACTCGCTCTATAAACCAGACAAGATCTGCCTGCCTCTGCCTCTGCCTCCCCGAGTGCTGGGATTTAAGGAATGCTGGACTCTCGTGTGTGTGTGTGTGTGTGTGTGTGTGTGTGTGTGTGTGTGTGTGTGTGTGTGTGTGTTTTTCTTCTTTTTTGTATTTGGCATTTTTAAAAAGTTGCACAAGGGACCAACTAGATGGCTCAGTTGTTCTGTTTGTTTTTAAGACAGGGTCTCACTATGCAGTTTTCACTGGCCTGGAACTTGCTATGTAGACCAGGCTGGCTTTGAACTCACAGAAAGCCACCTACCTCTGTCTCCTGAGTGCTTAGATTAGAGTCATGCCACCCATGCCTGACTACCCTGTATCTTTTTTTTTCTGAGCTTAGGTTTTTCAAGACAGGGTTTCTCTGTGTATCCCTGGCTTTCTTGGAACTTGCTCTGTAGACCAGGTTGGCCTCAAACTTAGAAATTTGCCTGCTTCTGCCCACTCCTACCCCCAGTGCTGGGATTAATGGTGTGTACCACAACCACCTGGTTTGGCCCATTGACACTCTCGAGACTGTCAATAAAGTTTGCTTTGAATCAGAGGTCTGAGCTAGCTACTAGCTGACCAAAATTAGCCATAGAAGTTTTGGAGGACTGAGGACACATAGAGAGACAGAAAGTAGTAGGACAGAGCTTAGAAAGGCTCTCAGCCCTTTTGAATGGAATAATGGGCGTGTGTGTGTGTGTGTGTGTGTGTGTGTGTGTATGTCACTGGTCGTTTCCCTGCCACTTCTCTGATCATTTATGTCCTTACCCTGATATCTGACTCCTGAGGTTTTTTGTTTTGTTTTGTTTTGTTTTTGAGACAGGGTTTCTCTGTGGCTTTGGAGGCTGTCCTGGAACTAGCTCTTGTAGACCAGGCTAATTTGAACTCATAGAGATCCTCCTGCCTCAGCCTCTCAAGTGCTGGGATTAAAGACGTGCACCATCACCACCTGGGGTGAGTTTTTTTTTTTTTAAGATTTTATTTATTTATTATGTATACAACATTCTGCTTCCATGTATATCTGCACACCAGAAGAGGGCACCAGATCTAATTCAAGGTGGTTGTGAACCACCATGTGGTTACTGGGAATTGAACTTAGGACCTCTGGAAGAGCAGTCAGTGCTCTTAACCTCTGAGCCATCTCTCCAGCCCGTGAGTTTTTTATTGATAAAGAATAATTAGATATTAGATAGCCAGGTGGTGGTGGCACACACCTTTAGTTCCAGCACTCAGAAGGCAGAGGCAAGCAGATCTCTGTGAGTTTGAGGCCAGCCTGGTCTACAGAGCAAGTTCCAGGACAAGTTCCAAAGCTATAGAGAAACCCTGTCTTGAACCACCACCACCCCCAAAAAAGAATAATTAGATAAATGCTTCATGTTCCAGAGAAAACTTCCTTTCATTCCCATAATTACCGTCTCCACCATGGCTTTCCTCTTTGCTGTAACCCTGGAGGTCACTTGGCTGTGGCTGTCTAGGGCCTTAGCTCTGCTCTCAGTCATCTCTATATTTCTCTCTTCCCTTTGGGACTGAGATGGGTGGGGAACGAACTGCTCACAACCTCTCTTGGAATTGATCTACTTTGAGTGCACCATTTGTGTCTTTCAACACTCTGACGGTTTATATCTTTGGCAAGTTCATAAAGTGTGTGTGGGGGGGGGGCTGAGGATGAGAAGAGGGCTGTCCTCCCTACATGAGACCGTTTGATTCCCCAGCACCAGAGAAAAAGACAAAAAGAAAGCAGCAATGGTAAAAGACATTACATTATATAAATTTTGAAACTCTTTTCTTTCTTTTATATAGCGCTTCGATCAAACCCAAGGCCTTCTGCATACAGTGAGTGCTCTCTGACGGGAATGGAAATGCTGCCTAGCCACTTTGAAGATCTCAAACACCCTGGCAGACAGCATATAGGTGTTTGGGAACCTTATGACATAGGAGTCTGTTCCTCTGTATTAGCCTCCTCGAAGCAGGTGTGGCCACTGACCTGGAAGTTTTCAGAATGTCGAGGAAGCCTGCTCATCACTGCATCCAGCTCATCGAACTTTCTTAGTATGGCCTGCACTTCCGCAGACAGCTCTTTGTACTCTGAGAACTGGTCTTGGAACACAGCCTTATAGCGTTCTCGATCGTCATCCGTCCGAATCACAGGGTATTTTCTGAGGGAAAAATCACAAATCAGGCTGACAACTTTACCCTGCAGGAGGTCTGTGGTGACACCTCCCTAGCATGCTCAAGACCCTGGGTTCTATCCGTGGAGTGGAAAACATTCTAACACTTACTAAAACAAGCTGGAGAGGTGAAATGGGTCGCTTACTCAGTGGCCAGACCCAGGATACCTTTTTTATTTTTCAACGTTACCCTGGATAACAAACAACCATTCACATAAACAATTTTAAGCACAGAGCTAACTTGATGACAAACTAGAAGATGAAGGCCCAAATGGGAGTGTTAGGAAAACCAAGATGGACTCAGGAAAACCAAGATGGACTCACGCCACGTAGTCAGGCATCACGATGGGCTTGGGAATATATCCCGGAGGGATGTGTCCACTCAGAAGTTCAGGGGTCATTTTCGTTGTTCTCAACTCTTTGAAATTAACTTCTTGGTCTCTTTGTCTGTCACTAGGGGCCACTTCGCACTGCAGGAAAAGAGAAAAAGAATTGGCTGTACGAGGGATTGGGGAAAGAGCCCACCCAAGTTATCGGGAGAAAATTAATAGAGACTAGGAAGAAGAAAAGTGAAAAACAATGATTGTTTAGAGTTCCGTGTCTTATACACACAAAGGTGTTCTCAATGCAACAGCTGAAGACAGTCACATCTGGGAAATGGCAGCACAGAAGAACCTTCCACTTCTAATCAGCATATTACAAATGCAGCTGATGAGAAGGGCATGGTGCTTCATAACTCCAGCACCTGGAAGGCTGAGGCAGAAGGATTGCTGTAAGTTCAAGGCTACCCTTGGAAGGGGCTGGTGAGATCATACAGCAGGGTAAGGGTGTGTAATGGTTTGAGTGAGAATGGTCCCCATAGCTCATGTTTGAATGCTTAGTCCTTGGCTGGTGGAACTGTTTGGGAAGGATTAGGAGATGTGGCCTTGCTGGAGGAGGTGTGTCACTGAGGGTGGGCTGAGGTACCATACCATTCTCAGTGTGCTTTCTGTCTCCTTCATTCAGATCAAGATGTGAGCTCTCAGCTGCTCCAGCCAACATGGCTGCTGCTTCCTGCCACACGCCTGGGCATGACAGACCCTTAGCCCACTGAAACCATAAATCTAATTAAATGCTTTCTTTTATAAGTTGTCTTGGTCAGCAATAGAAAAACAACTGATACAAGGTGGTTGCTGTCAAGAGGACAGGATACAAGGTGAAGAGATCGGGACCCCCTATGTTGTCTTCTAACCTCCACACTCATGCTGTGGCACACATACGTGTACATACACAAGATAAACAAATGTAAGAAAAACTGGAAAGTACTTTTTTTTAAGTGGATGAAGGCTTTGGTACAGCTCAGTGGCATTGCGTTAAGGAATATTTGCTTAACTATGCAGATTTGTCTTACAGTTGTTTAATTATGTAAAGACACATTACTGTTTTATCTTGTCTGCCTAAGGCATCTGATTGGTCTAATAAAAAGCTGAACAGCCAATAGTGAGGGAGGAGGCATAGGTTGGACTTCAGTGTAGGGAGAGTAAGGAGGAGGAATTTAGGCTCAGGGGAAGAAAGAAAAGGAAATGAGATGACAGGAAGACATGAGGGGCTAGGCAGACAGACAGACACAGAGGAAGCAGGAAAGAAGGACATACAGAATGAAAAAAAGATAAAAGGCCCTGAGGTAAAAACATAGATGAATAGAAACAGGTTAAATTCAGTAATAAGAGCAAGTGGAACAAGTCTAAGCTAAGGTTGATCATTAAAAATTAATAGTAAGTCTCCATGTCTTTATTTGGGAGCTGGTTGGTGGCCCAAAGAAAATGGCACTACAGTACTGAGCTTGTCTAGTGTGCACAAAGCTCTGGATTCGACTCCCTACTTCCACCCCAGAAATAAAGAGTGGATGATGAAATGACAAATGAGAAGCTAAGTGCTGACTTTGTCAGGATTTACACCCCAGCCAAGGATGGGAAATACAGTTCAAAATAAGAAAATATGCCCAAAACAAAACAGAAAAAAACAAAACAAAACAAAAAAAAAACGTACCAAGCCTACTTAAATGAAAAGAAAAAAAAAAGTGACTCACTGGTGTGAGTGGATTAGAAGCAGCCAGTGTGAAGGGGAGAGGAGTCGCACTGTCTTCTTCTGAAAGGGAAAGCAAACAATCCATGTTGCAAGACTATTGCTGCAAGGTGTGGTGGTACACACCTGTGGCAAGAGGATCAGCTTGAGGCTAGCCTGGGCTACACAGCAAGATCTTGTCTCATAAAAACCAGAAGGAAACAACAATACTCCAGAAAAAAAAAAGCTTTTCTGAGTCAGTCTTCAAGAGGAGCTTGCTCAGACCATGCAGGGGACAAGGGGCAGGCCTATGGTTAAGTCCAGTGAGTGTTCTCAAGCTGAAGGCTTGATCCTCAGGAAAGCCTGTGGCAGGAGATGCTGGATTAAAGCCACATCCTTCAATAAAATAGTACATATTCAGGAAAGAGGAAAGAAATGGCTGAGAGAAGGACTGAAAGAGGTTTCTATCAAGGCCAGCAGAGGGGACATATGAGTGGAAGATGCAGCGGAATCTTCTAGAATAGACAGGCAGTTCAGTATTCAATTGTACTGTACCCAGAACACCATCTAGGGCTGATGAGGTTCAGAGAGGGTGAGTGAACCCTCTAAAGTCACCCATCAACTAACCAGAAAAACCACAACTAAACTTTGATTTTTGTGGTGCTGGAGACCGAACCCAGAGGTTTTGAGCATGCCAGGCCAGGGGTCTACCAATGCACTACACCCTAACCCAAGGTTCACTGACACTTTAGATGAACAAGATACGGAAACCTGTTTAATTAAATGTATATTGTCCACATGCTAAATTGCCCTGAAGTTCTAGAAGCATACTACAAGCAAGCCTGATAAACAAGTCAGGCAGTGCCAGCCATAGCTAGAGGAAAATAAGGCCCTGCCTGGAAACATGGTTGTTTGCTGATGCAGAAACTTCTTTCTCCTCTACAAAAACAAAACAAACAAAAGCAAAAAAAAAAAAAAATGCAATGACAGATTTTGAAGCCTTGCCCTCTATTGCTATGGCAGCTTTAAAAGTCCTTTGTTTGCCCACTTCCCTGCATCGGGGCTGGTTTTGAGGCTTGGTTTAACATTAGTTCACTGTCAAAGCCACTGGCTCTTACATCAACACATGGCATAAGCCTGAGCTAGTGGAGGTTGCTAACCAGCCCCAGGAAAGGAGAAGCTCCAAGCCCACAAGCCAGATGGGATATCACATCACAAGCAAACGAGTGGGACAGAGTAAGGAAACAACCAAGGATGTCTGGCTGACGTGGTCTCAATGTGAACAGCCCCCCATGGCTCAGATGTTTAGAGACTTGATCCCCAGTTGGTGGAACTGCTTCAGACAGATTAGGAGGCCTTGCCTTGTTGGAGGAGGTGTGTCACGGGCTTTAATGCCCATGCCATGCCCAGTGTGTCTCTCTCTGCCTCCTACTTACTCTCAGCTGTCCCTTCCACCATGCCTTTACTCTGCTATCACAGACACTAACTCTGAATTCACAAGTCCCACATTAAATGCTTTCACTTATAAGTTGCCTTGGTCACATTGTTTTATCACAGCAATTGAAAAGTACCTGAGGGCTGGGGGCTGGAGAGATGACTCAGTGGTTAGAGAACACTGACTGCTCTTCCAGAGAACCCGGGTTCCATTTCCAGCACCCACATGGCAGCTCACAACTGTCTATAACTACAGTTCTAGGGGACCTGACACCTTTACACAGGCAAAACACCAATGCACATATAAATATTTTTTTTTTTTAAAAAAGGTACCGGAGGCTGTGTTCTCTGCAGCTTAGGGTGCTGTTCCTCAACCCAGTAATATTTCAATCTTGAAAATGACTCATGGGATTAAACATTAGAGAAATATTTTGACTTGAATAAATGGGTTTCTATTTCATGGAGCCTCTCTTTAGCACTGAGCTGTCTGACACTCAATGGCACACAGGCTTCTGTGTACCAGCTCAGGAAGCCACTACAGGGTGTACTGATCTGGAGTTCACCAACAGCCCTCAGGCATACAGCTCTGGCTTCCTGGTCAAAGACATGAATTTGGCCCAGGCAGACACCCTGGATGGCAGAGTCCAAAATTAATTACTTTTCTAGGTTTAAAAAAAGTTCAGGTAAGTACTATTCATTTTATTGATTTGTGTGCTTGTTTTTGAGATAGGATTTCACTGTACTCCAGACTGGTCTGGAACTCACTATGTAACCTGGGCTGGCCCAAACTCACGGCCATTCTCTTGCTTCAGTCTCCTTAATGAGGGGTTACAGGTTTGAGCCACCATGCCTGGCTCAAGCAATCACTTCCATTACTTGCTCATATCTCCTTCTCAGGTTTACCTTTTACTGGGAGAAGAAAGCTTTAAGAAAAGTGTGACACTGGGCTCCAGCCCTGGAACTAGTCACACTTTCCTAGTGACAAGCACATCTGTGGAAGGAGAGAGAGGAGGAAGAGTCAAGGTCTAACATAGCCTCTTTCCTGTCTTAACTGAAACTTGGCCTGTTAGCAAATACTGGGAATGCTCTGTTATGATCCCAGAGAAAGGAATTAAAGGTCAGGACAGACATAATTTACTACGTCTTTCAAACTAAAAGTGGGCTGAGTGGACAACCTGTGGATTAGAAGCAGGGAGAGAAGATCTATTCAATGAACACCTGTGCCAGTCCTGGCATTCCCTGAGTGCACACACAAGCCTGTCAACCACCTGCAACTCCAGCTCCAGAAACCTTCTTATGGCCACCGAGGGCATGCATACACACACACACACACACTTACACACTTACACACACACACACACACACACACACACACACACACACACACACACTAAATAAATCTTGAGGCTGGAGAGATGGCCAGCAGTTAAAACCACTTGGTCTTCCAGAGAATTCAGGTTCCATTTCCAACACCCACATGGCAGTTCACAACCATCTGTAACTCTAGTTCCAGGGCATCTGACACCCTTTTCTGGTCCCTCACAAGCATGCATGCATGTGGTACACAAGACATAGATGCAGGCAAAACCTTCATCTCATAAAATAAAAACAAATAAAAATCTTTTTTAAGGAACGGTTTTAGCCAGGTGAGATGATGTATACCTTTAATCCCAGCACTCAGGAGGTAGAAACAAGTGGATCTCTGAGCATTCAAGGCCAGCCTGGTTTACATAGAGAGCTCCAGGACAGTCAGGGATACAGAGTGAAACCCTGTCTCAAAACAAACAAACAAACAAACATAGTATCTGCTTATTAAAATATCATAATCTCAAAAAACCAAATTGTTACAATCCAAAAAAAAATCATAAAATATAAACAGTAATGTTCAGCCTACTCTACAGCCCAAATGATGGACAGGAAATTCAAGTTCAGAGAAGATAAGTAATTTCCACAGGCTCAAAGGGCAAGAAGACAGCTGCACTGGTGCCCCGGTTCCCTGGTTCAGAGCAGTGTAATTCGAAAATTCGCCTCCTCTTCTCCAGCCACTCTGCCAAACCACCCCTGATAGGGTCCAAGGAGAAAGCAGGTGAGAAATCACACCATGAAAAGTTGGAGTTGTAGAACTTTCGGTCAGGTCTTTCATTGGTTAAGTCCAATTGATTAATGGGAGTCCCTCTTGAGAGGCCTTTAAAAGGGTGTGTTTTGGCTTCAGCTTCCTTATCTATGAGTTGGCAGGCTGTAGGTCAAATGATTTCTAAAGAAAGAATGGCATTCCAGCCAGGTGGTGGTGGGCCCACACCTTTAGTTCCAGCACTTGAGGCAGAGGCAGTGGGAGTTCTAGGATACCCAGGGCTACACACACACACACACACACACACACACACACACACACACACCTCAAAAAAAAAAAGGTGGGGGGCATTCTATTATTATTCCTAACTATTCCAGGACCTCTCAGGATCAAAGACCAGGAAAACCTGGACATGCTGTCTGGCCCCTAAGCAGTATGAAAGACACGCCCTAGAACTCTAGTGGATCTTAATAGTCCTGTCCCCCTCTGTGCATTCCATCAAGCAGGGACCTGACTGACTAACTCTGCACTGAATTCCACTGGCAAATCCCACGGCCAGTGGTGGGAACAACCAGGAAACCCATACATTTTACCCTGGGCAAGAACAATTGCTACTGTGAAACCCACAGAAAACAGCAGACCTGAACAAGGGAGAGCTCTTGGTCACCAGACTGATAGCTGGGAAACCAGCACGGGACTGATCCAGACCCCCTGAATGTGGGTGTCAGTGAGGAGACCTTGGAAATCTATGGGGCCTCTTGTAGTGGATCAGTACTTATCCCTAGCATAGGAATGGCCTTTAGGCTCACAGCCCACATGGAAGGATATTCTCTCAGCCTAGACACAAGGGGGTTGGCCTAGGCCCTATCCCAAAGACTATGACAGGCTTTGAAAACCCCTATGGAAGGCCTCCCCCTCCCTGGGGAGCAGAAAGGTTATGGGATAGGTAGGTTGTTAGTTGGGGGGGGGCAGGGAAGGAAGGGAAGGAGAGGGACCTGGGATTGACATGTAAAATAATTTTTTTCTAATTAAAATAAAAAAGAAGAAGAACAATTGCTATCACCACATTACTGCCATATTGCAGCCCGGTAAAATGACCCTGCCTAGCCTGACACTGGGAAAGAAGCAGTTGCAAAGTGGGTACCTTTAAATGCCTCCAAAGATGACAGACAGACGGATGGATGGATGGATGGATGGATGGATAATGGATGGATTTCAGTGATGGGGATTAAGCCCAAGGCCTCAAACATGTCAGGCAGGCAAGCAGTCTACCATTGACCTTTGTTTTGAATACTTAGGATATTTTGAACATACTTCCAAATGTTAGCATTCTGCAAGATCCTAGATCTTGACATTATCTGTTAATGAGTGCTAGCATTATAAAATGAATTTCCCATGTGAAATGTGTATATGCACTGCCATGCTTATGTTCCTGTCCTGACTTTTTCCTTCAGTGATGGACTGATGAGGATCCAAGTTGCTTATGGTATTGGTGTTTTTACCACAGCAATAGAAACCCTAACTGAGACAATGACCTTGAACTTCTGATTCGCCCACATTGACCTTGCACAGGCTGGGATTACAGCCATGGGCCACTATGCCCTGTTTGTGCAGTGTTAGGGAGGGAACCTAGGGCTTCATACATGCTAGGCAAACACTCTATCAGCTGAGCTAAATCCCAGGATCCGGAAGAATGATTTCCAAGAGTCCCGTGATACAAGAGGCAGAAGCAGGAACAGCATGCATTAAAGGCCAGCCTGGGCCACACAGCAAGAACTCATCTCAATAAACAAACATATAAGAAAAACCAGACATGTTGATGAACAAAAATTCATGTAACAAAATGAAAAGGGGAGAGGGAAGACCGCTAATGTGGTCTTCATAGTACCAGAAAAAGCTGTAAGTCTTCATCTGAGCTCAGCACTATGGTTTCACAAGTGGGTACTTCTATTGTCAACTAATATACACAAGAGACAAGTGTTTAGCAAATCTACAGATACAGCATAACTTAAGGTTAATGTTGCCCTTACCATTCTCCTTTTTGATGACAATGATGGCTCCTTTATCTGGAATAACAATAACAAAAGAGTTAAAATGATTCCTCAAGAGGCTGAAGAGATAGTTTAACAGTCTAGAGTTCTTACTGTTCTTGCAGAGACTCATGAGTGCCTATAACTGCAGTGTCAGGGGATTCCATGCCCTCTTCTGCCCCCCACATTCAAGTGCACATTCCACACAGACCACACACACACTCAAACGCACACATACATGAGCACACACACACACAGTTTCCATCCATTTTCACTTCTAGCCCAATGTCCAGAAGTTGACCCTCTCCTTGATGTTTGATTTCCATACTTGTTGGCCTCGATTTCTGTGGGCCAGTGGGAACCAGAGGACGATGGGTAACTGTGGTTCCCTGTTAACTAGGAAAATAGGGAGGATTTGGAGATGGGGAATGGTGGGTACTATTAGGTGAGTTTGAATTACCTAGATTTTATTTATTTCTGGTTATTTTATCTTGGGTGGTTAATTGTTTTGTTTTATGAGATTCTATCATGCTATGTAGCCTAAGCTAGCCTAGAACTCACCACATGATCAGACTGGCCTTAATCTTGTGACTGTCCTCTTGCTTCTGCCCCAAATGCTGGAATTACAGGTATGACCCACTATGCCCAGCTCTTTGGATAATTAAAAAGTCAATACAGTCACTTCATAAAATTAAATAAGCTCCAAAGCTACATAGAGAAACCCTGTCTTGAAAAACAAACAAAAGTCAATATAATCACTTTATAAAATTAATAGAAAAAAACCCCAAAGGCTGTTATATCACCTTCAATAACTGGAGTTTAATCAAATATTATAAAAAAATCTTATAGAAAGTTTTTAAGATGAACACACTGACCTGCACCTGTAATTCTAATTCCCTGGGAGGCTGAGGCAGGATAACTGTGGTAAGTCATCCTGGGCTATACAATCAGTTTTAGTACAAGCTGGGATACATAGTGAGATCTCCTCTCAAATAAAATTAGTTGTTGGAGTTTTGGGATTTTTTTGTTTGTTTTTGAGACAGGGTTTCTCTGTGTAGCCCTAGCTGTCCTGGAACTTGTCCTAAAAACCAGGCTGGCCTCAAACTCAGAGATCTACCTGTCTCTGCCTCCCGAGTGTTGGGATTAAAGGTGTGTGCCACCACCACCCAGCTTTATTGTTATTTTTAGTAAGTAAAATCCAAGAAAGAAAAACAAATGCAATACTTTCTTATTTTGGAATACGGACCTCTCCAAAATAATGATGAACCATTAAAAGCCAGTAACTATGCTGCATGCTTATCACAACTAGTCATTCAATGTTTGCTTTCAATGCAAAATTACCATATTCGTTTGTTTTTGCTTTTTGAGACAGGGGCTTGAAAAGGAGCCCAGGCTGGCCTCAAACTACATGGCTCAGGCTGGACTTGAATTCACAGTAATAGTCCTGCTTCAACTTCCCAACAGCAGGGATTACAGGCTTAAGCCACCTTTCCCATTAGCCACACTGGTGTGTGTGTGTGTGTGTGTGTGTGTGTGTGTGTGTGTGTGTGTGTGTGCATGTGTGTGTGTTGTTGTTGGTGTTAGGTTATATGCCTACACATTACACACATAGAGGCCAGGAGGACAACCTAGGGCGTTAGTCCTCGGTTGCCTTTCCCCTTTTGTTTGAGACAGGGTCTCTATTGGCCTGGAATTTTGCCACTGAGGGACAGGCTAGATGACCCTGGAGCTTCAAGGCATCCTCCTGTCTCCACCTCCCATCTTCCAGCACCGGGAGTACAGGCGTATGCCAATGAGTTTTTACTTCTTCCAGAGATCTAATGACTTCTTACTCAGGTCCCCAAGCTTGACTGAGCCAACTATTCAGCTCCATAATCTGTCTTGGTATTACTTCACTGGGGGCGGGGAGGAGAACTTCCCTTCTGTAAGTGAAATATTTCACTTTTTTTATGGAAGTTTATCTTAGGAAGGGATCAAAGCTCTTCTTGAACTTGCTTTGCTGATGAGGTGCTTCAGTCAGCATCACAGCTAGGTTAACAAGCTGCAGCACACGTGATGTGTTCGATAACAGTGAAACAGCAGAGCAGGTGTCCCAGCCAAAGCAAGGACTCTTGAAACTCAGCTCGTTTAAATACATATACAGGTACAGATCTAGAAAGACTTTGGAGGCTTCGAGGGTGTTGTATTTGAGCATCAACAGAAAAGCAAAGCAAAGCAAAACAAAGGTATTGAGAAGTCACATACCTCCTGCTGCTCCATGTATTCCCTATGCCTCCGAGCTGCCTCATGCCTCCACAGTTTTAGGCAGACCAGAGCACTGACGAGATAAACTATCATGGTGACAAACAAGAAGATCATTGCTGCTATCTGACCTCCTTCTACCCGGCAGAAGCCCGCATTTATCGGAGTATTGAATAATGGATAATAGCAGAGTCCACCTCGGTTGGTATCATTCACATAAACAATGGCTGCGGCCATGTACAGGATAAACAACGCAACGTTAACTCCAAACTCAGTCAGGGGCCACCAATTAGAGTCCAAAAGAATGGTTCGGTAATACATGGACATGCCAAGCACCAGAATAATAATAGTGGTGATCCAAGCCAAACCAGCCACCACGAGTATAAAAGGGGTCTTGGGGCCACTGTAGTAATATCCCCCATATGTGCTGCCCAGGCTGCCAAGACTTGCTGTGCCATACGGCTGTGTATATCCAAACAAGTTGTACCACTCGTTGTCCTTGTGGATGTAAGCTGTGACACACGCGAAGACGCCAGCCCCCAGAAGCAGTTCAGCCACACCCAGAATTCTCAGCAGGCCCGCCCACGACTTCATGTAGGCATACCGCAGATTGTACTCCTCCACCTTCTCGCTGTAGGTCAGTGCGGTCTGTGTGCGCCGGTCTAGGGATGCATAAGAGCCCTGGGGAAACATGGCATGTGCCTCTTGCGGCGAATTAAAAGTGCCTTCTGACCCTCCAGAAGGATCTTTGTAAGAGCTGGGTGGGAGGTGATTTGGTCTCGCAGGAGAGGCCGGAGGTGAACACTCCACACCATCCGAGATGTATCTGATATTAGACACTGGCTTATCCCATTCTGGGTCTTTTTTCTTCCCTCTGAAGAAGTTTTTCCAGGAGTCGGGGACAAAGCGCCTTACCGGCTTGAGGTCTGGTGCTATGGCTGGTTCCTCTGTGTCACTTGAGTAGAAGGTCGGGCCAAATGGTGGCTGTAATGGGAGAGGAGGCGGTGGCAGAGGATCGGAGCTCACAGCCAGCTCACTGCTGTGCAGGGACTGGAGGGTTTGTAGGGTACCATCTGGACCAGGCATGTCCCTTGGAACCTCACTGTAGCCTCTGTCCTGAATCCTGGACCTTCCATCACTTGAGGACATTTGTGCTTTTCACACCTGTGGCCAAGATTAAAGTTATTACCCATGTCTAGTGACTTTATCATCCATAAATAAAATCCAGTTATTTTATTCACTTAATTGCAAAAAGGATTCAGGTGGCAAGCATGATTGTATCTAACTATTATTGTATCTAAAATGATAAACACACTTTTAAACACATGTAATAATTAGATTATCCAGGATTATATTTAAGTATTCTATACCACTGCATTTTTTGTTTGTTTTTTGAGACAGAGTCTCTGTGGCTTTGGAGGCTGTCCTGGAACTAGCTCTTGTAGACAAGGCTGGTCTCAACCTCACAGAGACCCGCCTGCCTCTGCCTCCTGAGTGCTAGAACTAAAGGCGTGTGCCACCACTGCCGGGCATCACTGTATTTTAAGAGGAGTAAAAATTTAAAATATTAGTTTTGAATTTTATATAATAAAGCATTTAACTCTAATGTATGTATGAACCTATGGACAAAATATAAAAACAAAACAAAAACTTGACCAATACAGAATGCTAACATATTCCCAAGTACAATATTGTCTTTAGACATCTAAATCAAATATCTAAATCTGAGTGTGCCAGGTGGTGTCACAGCACTTGGGAAACAGAGGCAGGAGAATTTCTGTGAGTTTGAGGCCAGCCTGGTTTACAAACTGAGTTCCAGGACAGCCAGGGCTGTTACACAGAGAAACCCTGTCTCAAAAAAAACAAAAACCAAAACCAAAACAGAGTCTGAGCATACCCAAATTTGATGGGTCATAAATACTCTTTGTTTTCATGAACCCACATTTGCTTTGGAATGGCCAAGGAGCCATTAAAGCAGTCTTTAAACACAGCAAGCATGTGTCTTTTTCCTTTCTAATCAAAAAAGTTAGCTGAGGAACTAGAGCGATGGCTCAGAGATTAAGAGCACCGGCTGTTCTTCTGGAGGGCTGGGGTTCAATGATCAGCACTCACATGGGAGTTCACAATCCACTATAACCCAAGTCCCCCAAGGGATCCGACACCCTTTTCTGGCCTCTGGGGGACTGCATCCATATGGTGCACTGACATACATGCAAGCAAAACACAAAATAATAAAATAGCAAGTGAAAAAGTTAGCTGAGAGGAATTGCTTTTTTCCTCCTAAAATATCAACAGTCGGCACTAGATTTTAGAAATTGAATTCTCAGAGGGAAAAACATCAAAGGCCAGGGTTCCCCACAAGCGTAAACAGCAGCAGCCCTAACTATGCATATCACTGTTCTCAGAGCAGGTATCTGGAAGCAATTTGCTGTTGCCAGGGACAACTGAAGCATCTTAGGAGTAATTTAATATACCTAAAAAATTATCGAAAGAACCCTAAGTCTACTGCCTTCCTTTATGAAAACAATGACCTAAATATGTATAGAATAAAAAAAAAAAAACTTGCTAATGAACGGTTTGAGGTACACTGAATTTCTCCCTTCAACTGTTTATGCCTTTTTACTGGATATTCAATTAGTATTGGTACTATACTTGAAATAATGACAAAATAAAATGTGTGTTTTCACCTTTACAGTGCTGAACAACTTGGAAATCCTAAGGTATTATTTTAATTTGTAAAATGGAGAACCATCAGTCAACAAAGACTGACTGAGAACCTTCAACGAATCAGGTACACTGAGGCTGTTTTTAACTTTCCTGCTTTTATGCAACGTAAATCCTACTGTGGGAAGCAGGTGACAAGTGACATGCACAATGCAGTAAGAATGAAAGTTTAAAAAGTGGAGTAGGGAGTGTACTGCAGGCAGTGTGTTTCCATTTCATCATGGCCAGGGAAGTCTTCAAGGAGAAAGTGACAAGTATGGAAATACAGGTGAAGGAGGAAACCCAGCAGATGCCTGGAAGGAGTGCTCCAGGCAAACGAAACAGCTACAGTAAAAGTCCCAAAAGCCCGCTGGGACAGTCTAACATGCTAGGGAAATGCCAAATCAGAAAGCTCAGCAAGGAAGCAGCGTTAGAATGAGATGGATTGTAGAACCAAAGCCAACTGATTCACTGAAGACCTTAAACCCACTGGCTGTTAATGGGTGATAAGAAGCCATCAGAGGATTTGGAGCTGAGGAGTGACATGATCTTGAGTGACTTGTTTTAGTAGGATCTGTGGATGTGGTGTTTAGAGTACCATCCAGAGGGGAAGGCTAGGATAAGGAGGCTGCTGATATGATCCAAAGCTTCATAGTGACTGCCAAGGAGATGGTGAGGCCTGGCATTCTACAAACGGAGAATAAAAATTACGCAGTTACAAAGGATTTAAAGAGAATCAAAAGTGGAAAGGGTAGTATTTTGAACCGTTCAGTGCCAAGGATCAGCTTCAACAGTTACTCGACTAAGACCAATCCTATCTATATTTCACTTCTCCTTCCCTGTCCTATTCCTCCTCTGCCAGGAGAGATTACTTGGAAGCAAGTGCCAGAGGGTCTGGAGAGATGGCTCAGTGGTTAAAAACAATGGCTGCTCTTCCAGAGGACCTGAGTTCAATTCCTAGCACTCAAATGGGGGCTCACAATCAATTGTCTGGTCTACAAAGCAAGTTCCAGGACAGCCAGCACTATTACATAGAGAAACCCTGTCTTGAAGCAACAACAAAAATAATAACGTAGAAGCAAAAGCACAACAAATAAACTGAACCAGGTTTGAGGTATCTAGGGTACATATGGTTTACAGAGCATCCTACAGGTTAATTTAACTCACTGTTAAAAGTATGAGTCACTGTAACGGATTCAACTCATCTTCACCTGTGGAAAATGTCTCATTTGAGTTATATCACTTTATCATTTAAATAAAAAACAAAAATTTTAAACGTGTAGACTAGAAGAGCAAACTGTGTTCTCTCAGCAAGGAATGATCAGTGGTATTTTACCACATTTTAAATATATAGATACCCCTAATGTCTAACAGGTTGCTCCGGAGTTCCCTAGGCTCTCTATCCAGGTCGTAGAGATCGCAGGTCTTTGTTTGGTTGGGGTCAGAGACTTGGGAATGCCACAGTAGCCAGAAAAATGGTTCCCCAAGCGTCACAGGAATCAAGCCTGATTACCTTTACACATGCAGTTGCCCCTTAAAGTTTTGTCGCCTCCAGAAAGTGTACTGCCTCTGGATTTGGGTGGGGGAGCAGCGGAGCCGCAGCCTCCGCAGACACCAGAGTTCTCGTGGGGCTCTCCCATCCAGCCTCCCCGCTCTACGGCTGTACCCACCGGTGCGCGTCCCGCTTTCGCCCTCGCCTTATCTGGAAAATCCACTCTGGCTTCCGCCCCAAGGGTGGCCGTTGTCCCGGTCAGGACAGCCGGGAAAGTGGCGAGGGCGGCGCCACTCGGCGCCCGGAAGAAGGCGGAGGCGGCGGTCCGGCCGGCCGCACCTGTCGCTGCCGTCACCGTGAAACCCTCTCGAGCGCCACCCCCGGAGCCGGCTCGCCCACGTGCTCAGGCTCCAATGGGTCGG